TGGCGAAGAAGCTCAGCCTTGAAGTGGTCCAGCACAATCTTTGGCGAGATGGCATAGAAATCAGGCAACATCTTGTGGACAGGGGAAAGAAGCTGCGAGTAAACCCACAAAGCTTGTAACGGTGAGGCCACGTTGCCCAGGAGTGGGAGTGAGTCCCTTGGCCCTTGCATGAAGGTCATGGAGGCCTTCAGCCGGGTGTAGCAGCCGAGGTTGGCCGGTCAAGGTGGAAGTAACACAGAAGCCACGAACTCCACGTGAACGAAGGGAGGCCTCGGACATAGCAGTGTCCCTGCAGCCGCAAGGGCAGGCGGTGAACCACGTGCCATAGGAATGAAGCAATGTGGGCAGGCTGTGCTGCGGTCCAAACCACCGCTGGTCGTCCCCATAAGTCTCATCGCCAAAGGTCCTGTGTTCATGCTCAGTGAGGAGAAGGTCAGTCTCCTCGTCCACATCCCAAGCTGGCCAAACAGGGAGCAGTGAACCAATCGTGGAGTACGTCTGTTCGGTTGGCCATGGGCAGAATGGTCCGGCTAACCAGCAAGCCGGAGCACAAAGACACCACCACCTGAGTCTCTTCATAGGCCATTGCATCTTGAGGTCCAACTCGTATTGGATTTGTTCCCAGCCTCTGGCATCATTGAGGAGCTTGAATGCTCTCAACACGAACTCATTCTGTCCTGCTGCAGGGACACACTCAGCAATCAAGGCCTGGACAGGCAAGAGCCAAGCAGCACGAAGTGCAAAGAGCAATGTGTTGAAGCGAGGGTCAAGTTCAGCACGTTGATAGCCCTGTGCACTAAAGGGTTGGCATGGGAACCCCAGGAATGCTGTTGCCGAGCGAGAACCAAGGCGCAGGTGCGTCTCAAAGATGGTCTGAAGGTCCTCCAAGCTTGCCTCGATGACCACTCCATGCGAGTTGCCACGAAGGTGATCAGCAGCATAGGTCGAGACATCGATGCTAACAGCAACTTCGGCGCCGGCAAATGAAGCCGCCAATCCCATGGATCCGCTGCCAGCGCACAGCTCGATCACCAAAGATGAAAACTTCTTAAGAGCCAAGTCACGAGGCAGGGCAGCACTCATTGCTCCTGGCCGCAGACACAGCGGCTCGGTGCAAGCAATCTCCCAGTGGTAGAGAGTCCAATGGCGGCAATCCCCTCCCTGATTCCAGCCAAGCAGCAGGGCATCGTGCAGCCAAGGCGTCAGCTGGGCCTTGAACATCGACGAGTCGCCGAGGTCGGCCTCCACCAACCTGATCACCCCTGTCCAGTCACCGCCTTCTGAAAGAGGCGGATCGCCGAAAATGATCGACTCCATGGACGAATGAACCTAACCCGAAGTTCCGCCGACTAAACCACACCGCTGTAAGGAGTTCGGGCCCGTGGCTACTTTAGAGGGGATTAAACAGTTACTGCAGGTACATGACTCTGGCGTCCCAAAGTCATTTCACATCCGATCAGCAGTGTCTTTGTCAGGCAGCGACTGCTGGAAGGACCACTGCCCCCCCTGCTGCTGTACATATCGAGTTCCTTTGAAACAGGAGGTGACACACACACACACACACCCACGCACACGCACGCACACACACACACACACACAACGGCAGCACATGACCCCAAGACATATAATACTTGAGAACACACCAGGACAAGCACGACAGCAGACTAAAAGCAATGATACATTCCCGTTCATCTCCAAGACACTTCATGGCTACCAGGTGGCGGAATGCCATGTTAGGCGCTCTTTGCTCCTAGCCCATAGCAGTATCATGATTCATTCAAGCAGAGGCGCCACCACTGTAGGAAAATCTTCTAGGCACAAGTCTGAGCAGACAAGAACAAAGAGGCTCAATAATTGAACTACCAAATACAGTATACAAAAGACCGCACAAGAATCCGTCCTTTACCCTCCTTGGGCAGCAACAGCATCGGGGCATCACCTGTAGTCAGCCACTGGTCACTGGATCTGACAAATCGTGCGTTAATTTGGCAGTTGTAGGCTCTTCAAGGCTCAGCTGAGGAAAATAATGGTTTTTTTATGTTTTTTGTTGCTCAATCTTAATATCTTGCATGCTCCATCTCGAACATGTCCGACGAGTCTGCAAAAACGGCTGGGCTCCGACACCACCCTGAACATCTGCAGAAACTCCCCTGGCACCTCTCGCATAATGTCGAAAACGCTTCCGACCTCAGGCGCACTGACCTCTTCATCTTGGTCCTGGAGGCACACAGCGTCACGAATATCCCTGCTCCGGATTATGTTTGTTCCTCCTGGATGTGAAGTGGCTAGTACCAAAAGCTAGAACCTCACAGGCTCAAACCTTTAGATTTTGGCTGATAACTTGGTGCGGGTTTGAGCCCTCGAGCCCTGCTTGAACGCCATGGCATCAACACATCTGGCTGTTTCTGCTGGCTGCGTCTGCTGGCTGCCTTGATGGGGACTGGTGCTTGCTTAGCTTCTTTGAAGATTGGCACCGCCTCGCACGGCTCACACTGATAGGCAACAAGGACTGACCAAGAAGCATCTAGCACTTGTAGGACATCTGATCTCAAAGTGTCATAAGCTTGTCTTGGTAGATTGAACCAACAAGATTAGACTTACCTCATGATCGGTTCTCCTATTGCTTCTGCACGCCTCCAGGGTCACTAGACCAAAAATGAAAATGTAGAAGACCGCTGCCAAGCGATTTAGCATTGATGCATCCTCAGTGCCACTTTACGATGCAAGAAGCAGTCATGGCCTGCTGCAGTGAAATCATATATGTAGTCCCAACTTCCTAAAAACATTGAGCTGCCCAGTTTCCGCCATGAGAACCAGCACTGGAATGGCTCCAAAGCCGCCGCCCATCATACAGGTGTACTTGCACAGGCCTGCAAAGCGTGGTTGGCTAAGCTGAGTGACAAATAAAGAACGGAAGATAGAAATCCCCCAACATCGCCTTCAACCATGATCCTCTCCTCTTTGTAAGGGTAGATCTCCTTCCAACACCGCGGCTGGCCAGGCTTGAATCGTGGATCCAAAAGCACAAGATTCAAAGACAAGGCCCTCCTGGCGAGCTGATTCAAAAGCAATAACGCACGAGGCCGCACCCCAATATGACAGCATCAACATCAGCACCTTGGTGTCCATGCGAGACTGGAACATATTGTTTGAAACACGCAGGTCTCTTGGATGCACTCCAGTCAGCTTCAAATCAGTCTGAGTGAAAGCCTGACCTTACAAAAAGACCGACCCTGACCAGCCGCGCAACAAACCAGGTTTCCAAAGGTCCGGAAGAATCACCTTGGCAGCAATAATGGTAGCAATCTTCGCCAGCAATGAAGTTCCCAGCATACATGCTTAGGCTTTTGAAGTCCTCTGGTGCAAGAAATGTCTAGCCTTTGTTTAAGCACCATTTGCATCACATGTTATGCACTTCACGACAACCATGCTTGACAACCTTGACCTGCAATTCTTTTAGGCTGGCGCGGACGAGCCTGTCGGAAGGCCACTACTGTAAACAACCCAACCTCTAACCTCTCGATAATCTTGACAAGTGGCTGGGTGGCATGTAGACCACACTCGCAGCAGTGGCTGCAATGATGCAATGGGTCAGGAGCCAGGGTGCTCTCTTGCCCCAGCGTTCCAGTGGGAAGAACCGGGCCAAGCAAGCACGATCCTGAATGTGCATAGCAGTGCCGCAAGTTAGAGCTGAAAAGTGCGGCAACGCGCCAGCACGTGCAACCATATGATCGAACAATTGATTGCCCTTTGCCCATCTACTATCAACAGGGCGTGTGATGTGAGCTTGCCAGATCACGTCGCGACGAACCAATCATGCTGTCCTGCAGGTGCCCAACCAAGAATTCGGTCAAAGGGCTCCAGAAACTGATTACCTGAGATCATGATCATGTGATGTGGGAGGGCTGCCAAAATTCCACTTACAGACATTTGAAACACCGCCAGTCGCTGACCTGATGAAAGCCTGCAGTGAGTGCCTTACTGCTGATCAGGCCCAACCACAAGGGTTACCTTCAAGCATGGCTCACAGTTTGATGTCAAAACTTTTCTGGGAAAGTTGCGGAGAACAAGCAGCCAATGGCCGTCGCATCAGCTCCAAATTTCTCTAAGTACACATCTTTGGCTGAACCAATGATCGCCAAGATGTGGAACAAGCTGAAGAGAGACAGCGCAAATCGAAACTTTCCTTGGTGAGTGAGTCATCCGTGAGCAATCCGTGAATTATCGGCGCACCACATGCCGTTCAGAAAGTTCAACCAAAAATTGGGTTGCAAACCTGCTCAGGGCCCTGTGGAAGAGAACCTTCTACGTCCCCTGCTGGCCATGAACAGCCAACAGCCCACCAACACAATCATGTAATTAGCATCAGGTTGCCTAACCACAACTAGCTGCTGGTAAAACTCTTTATGCAGCCCAAGCCAGTCGCCACTTAGAAGCATTGAAGGAAACTGAGGAAGAAAAGGCAACAAACAAAACAGTGAGGAGATTCACAGTGTCTAGGAATTCCACATCTAGAAGTCTTTTCAAGGTATCACCTGGATTGGTTTGGACTGACACACAGGCACGCCAACATCTACTCTAGTTGACTGAAACCTTGAAACCTGGATTTGACTGCCCGCGCATTTGCGACTCAACATGTACTGTATGCTTGACTACGCAGCAAGGTCGCAACCAGCCTGCTCGCCTACGCCAGGCTTCGGAGATATGAATGTCCAGAATGACCGCGCGGTTCAGTCAGATTCTTACGCATGCGGCTGCAGCAGTTCCTCTTTGGAGAATTGTCTTCTTCTCCTTCGGCTTCTTCAGCCATGGCGTGGGCAAAGGAGGGTGTGGCATGAAAGGCCACAAGCCTCAGAGCCTCTCTCTTAGCCAAACAGCAGTCATATGGACCACAGCAAATTCACCAACCCAACCACAAAGTGAGAAAATTGTGATTTCTTTGCAACTCTATTGTACACGTTGACGGCCGGTATGATAAAGAGCACCCTTGGTGCCCCAGCCGGCGGAGCAGGGGCCAACCCTCCATGCAAGTACCAGAAGTCAACAGCACGGCGGCCACCTGGGACATGTTGATGTTAAAGTGTCTGAGCGAAGTACCTGCCAGGGGCACTTCACCAAAACACAGCTCCAATGTTAGAGCCTCATGGGCAAGGGTTCTTGGGGGTTCCTTGCATTGCTTGCATCTCCAAAACTGTATGTCCAAACCTTCAACTCAAAACATAACTCCCCAGTAGGTTGGAGGTCATTGCTAGTAGGTTGGAGGCCATTGCTATATATTTGGTTGGAGGCCATCGCAAATAGAAACAAAAATAACATAAAAGGAAGAAACAAAAACAAATATAACTCCTTGGTATATGTGGCCTTCGGAGATCGCATCCCATGCTCCAACCCTCCCAAACATCGATGATCCAGCATGAGGAGCGCACCGACATCAGGGGGGCAACCAGCCAAGATCCAAGTTCCACCAAAGTTCACCAGCACGCCCTGGCATCAGGCATTGCGAAAACTGAGGCGCGCCTCATTGCCAACAAATTCATTGGTTGGATTCAGATCACGCCTGCTGGTTGGCACCAACCATAGCAACTTTCAGCATGGCACAAGCACACTACATCCAAGAGCTATATACTAGTACTGGTTACTGGCCAATGTGAAAACACCCAACGCCCAAGACTCGGCGTATCGCAAAATCATAGATTTGATTGAAATGGTCCAGAACCCTTTCGACTCAGGAGGTGCTTGGATGGCTCTGATTCAAGGGCAGGGAATCCAAAATCTCCAAAAAGTGTGAATCCAGAGTCGACTTCCCCCAGAAACGACACCAGCAAATGGACAATCGCAGGTCCTGAGGAAAAGGGCTCCGGATCTTGGGTCTGCAGAATAGCTGGGTTTCCACATTAACCATAAAACTTGGACACATACTAGAAAGTGGTTGGATGAATTGGAGAAGCCTTAATGACCATCAGGCGCTTCCCCATCGTCTTCTTCGAGAAACAAATTTGAAAATGCTGCACTTATTAAAGTATTCAACGAACGAATGAGAAAGCCAGTGAGAGAATCTCGCTGAGTCATGCATTGTCTGCCTTTGTTGTGACTTTCTGCTCGGAATGTACTCTTTTGCACCATGAGTTTATCCAGACCCACCGTGACTTCCGACGCTTCACAGTGGCACTCAGCATCGACACAAGGAAGCAAACATAGAAGATCTGCCAGGATATGGTTGATGACATGCTGCATGCTTCTCCCTTTTCTTTCGCAGCTGGTGTGGGTGAGACAAATCCTCCGACTGCATTGTTCACAGTTCACAGGGTGCAGCAAAGCTTCTGAGCCATGCGGCTCATAAAATCCAGCATTGGACGCGTTGGTCCTGATGGCCCCGAGCGTTTTGGCAGCACGGTGCGCATAGGCGCGGCGGTGGCATCTTTGCTCCACAGCAAGCGTCCTGCTAGCAAGGGGAGGGGTCGCCTAAAGTGCCCACACAGCTCGACCTTCAAAGACACTCACATGGAAAAGTGCTTTGCTTCAAATGTTGTTTATCATGTTTCCTTGTCTAGCTAGCTTTGAGGAAAAAACCTTTCTTCCCGCGTCATCCCCGGGGCCAGGCCTTGGGTGCGCACCACCATGCCCACAGCATTCCGTTCATCCGTGATGCGCCAGGTGGGATCTCGTTGCTGCCAAAGTTCACGAGGTACTGGGCCAAATGGCCCAGTGCATGCGGTGAAGAGTTTGCGGATCTTGCTGGCATCCGCCTGGCTGGGCTAGTGACAGGCGTCTCCTAACCAAAACCAAAGCTTTACGGCATGCAGGCCAGATAGGGTAAATGTTGGGAGAAGGTCAGAATACAATCCCAAGGGCACCGGCATGAACATGACAAGACTCTCCATAGCATGGGCGGCCCTGCACCATGAAGCAGGAATACACTTCCAGGGCGTGCTTGTTCTTCTTGCCCCACAGATTGGGCCACATGTCATCCTCAAAGCCTGGATGCACCCTATCCCATGTTGCACCTCCCATCCAAAGAACTCGCCATTCATACACTTGATGAGATTCCACAAGGACGGAGCCTGATGCAAGCTGAGGGAAGTCCAGCACGTGGTGAGCATTGCAGGGGTGTAGCATATATACGTATGAAATATCTTGTTCCACCTAGTCACTAGTCCACCATCCGCACCTAATCATCTGTGACGGTCATGAGTCACACACAAACACGCAATGCACAGTGCTGAAACACTTGGGGCATCATCGGGGCCATGGCTGTGCCGATACTAAGATATGTGAAGAGATGCTAAGATTATCCAAGATGATCCGAGATGCCATATAATAGGAAGCTACTAGGAACAAGTGCCACGCTAGTAGTAACAGGTGCCTTATTGGTAGTAACAAGAAGAGATGATCCGAGATGCCATATAATCGATCAACTTGGTGAAGTGCCCCATGAGCGCCAAATAGACGGCCTCGTGCGCCACCCATGCCTGGACCAGGCTATCGGATGCCTCAGCGGATCCGGTGGCCTGTTCTTAAAGCACTAAGTAAACACAGATTCAAAAATGGATGATAATACATCACATAAAGTAAAATCTATATACAGTATATTTATATAATTGTAATACCAGATCATGCGTCATTGGCAAGTGTTGGTAAAGAACAGGGCTTTGTTGGCTTCTTCGCTTTGGAGATTGTGACCTTCTTAAGTCATCTCCAAGTGACTGTCCAATCAAATGCCCTACCCCAAACCAAAGCACTGCTGCCAAATACCCCATTTCTATGACTTCCCAGCTCAGACTCCTGTTTTGGCCAGCTGTTGACTCGATCTTCCGATGGATCATTTTGATCCGGAAGTGGCCC